GCTAATTGGATGTTTTTAAATAACATAATGAAGTTAAAAATATAAAAAAAGTAATTTTATTAATAGAAAATAGGAAGACAAGTAGCTAATCTAGTCCTTGTAGAAAGAGAAGTACACAAGTTTTATATGGATTGTAGTATATTGAATATAGGTAGAAAGATAAGACTAAGGCCTTGTGGCCTCTCTTAACAATCCATATACACTACTTGTGAGCCTTAGTAAAGCTTCAATTCTTAATATCTTAAAGCAAGTTATCCTTGAGGTAAAAATTATTCACTTAATTTTTATGTTATTAACCTTCTATCTTTAATCTATCATAACTTACTCATAATAAATTTGATTTATATATTTTTTATGTCATTGAAAAAAAAAATTATCTATCTAAAAATATATTTTTTACTTTTTATTATTTATTATTTATTAAGTAAAAATTTAGTAAACAAATTGTGACTAGTTTTGTAGTATTCAATTGCTTGATTGCACTTATTTCACTTGTTTTTGTATTGTACTTATTTTGTTCTTATTCTTGCTACTTCTACTTCATACCACTAATTATAAGCAACTCTTAATTGAGGCCATCTTTTAATTTTGGTTAAAAAGTAAATTTTATACTCACACTTGTCATCACTCTAAAGATAGAAAATTTACATATTTCTAATGTAAATTATAGAAGTACTATTCCTACGCCTATGGAAGAAGTTCAAAATGTGCAACAAGAAGTTGCACAGTTGAAGGAAGCAAGTAGATCAACTTCAGAAACAAATCTAGAGAGTTTTGTTTTTATAAATATGACAAGGATAAGAATTAATATGCTTGAGAAGTTTGATGGAATAAGATCAAAATTTTGACAATTTTTACAACAAGTCAAGCTCTATCTAAGGTTTCATTCCTTCCAATATCCTAGTGGATTTACTCTAGTCAAATTCATAGGTACACTTCTATCAAGAAGTGCTCTCTCTTGGTTTGCACCTTTAATGAAAAAGATTCATGGCTCCTTTATGATTTTAATTCATTCTTAGAAGTTTATGGCCATATTTTAAATTGCTAAATATATTTCTCAAAATTGTTCAAAGAAATAATGCAACCACAAAATGAGGAACATGGTTGCCAAAGAAGACAATGTATCAAAAAACAAGTTTTTTTAGCTACAACAGAGACCGTGCAGCTAAAATTTTCCAAAACTTCTAATAAAGGTCTTATTTTTTCATCAAATCCTTCACCTTATTTTACAATAGAAGTTTATTTAGGACCAAAAAATCACAAAATCTTAGCTTTGTTAGATTCAAGAGCCTTAACCTATTTTATAGACAAAAACTTTGTCAATAAATAAGAGATATTGTTAGTCAAAAAAATTAAACTTGTACATGTAGAAGTCTTAGATGATCGTTTGCTATCTTCTAAAAATGTTACATATGAGATTGTTTATTTAGATGTAGCAATTAAAGATCATAATAGTATATTAATATTTAATATAATAAGATCTTTATCTAATTTGATTATTTTAGAATTATCTTAGTTAAAAAATAAAATCCTCAAATAGATTAGATTTTTCATAACCTTAATTTTTTGATAATTTAATTCAAAATTCCGTTAGTCAAGTAGAAATACATGTCTTATACAAAAAGGTTCATATTTTGTGGAGTTCACAACCCATTTTACAGTTGATCGGGGAATTTTATAAGGTATTTTTCATAGTGTTTCACACTGATTTTCTCCTCCTCAAATTTATGCACTTCATATTGTAATGCAATCATATAGACATTAAAATGGCAAATACATCAAAGAAGGCCTAGCATATGTTTAAGTTTTGTATTTCAATGATTTATTAAGATTTATTAAAACGACAACAAATTGAGAGTTCATTTAACAATTCATTGGTGTTCATTATTAATTCATTGTTAAAGACAATAATTGAGAGCTATTTGAAGTTATTCTATAATGCATGGTACATGGTCTATGTGGAATGCAAAATCCTCAAGCGCCTTGCATGGAAGATGGTCGTTGTATAAAGAAGTATCTAAAGGTATTTGTAGAAGAAACAACAATAGATGCCAATGGATATCCTTAATATTGACAAAAAAATGATAGAAGAATATTTGAAGTTTGAAGAATGGTTGTTGATAATATGGATGTTGTTCCATTTTGTCCAAAACTATCTCGGAAGTATAATTGTTATATTAATATTAAAGTATGTGCATTTATTTGTACCGTCAAGTATATCCACAAATACATCTATATGAGCCATGATTGCATTACAATGCAATTTAAAAACCAAGAAGATGAAATCGAACAATATTTGGATGCAAAATACATTAGAGCTCCAAAGGTTGCTTGGAGACTTTTTGGCATACTGATTTATGAAGAAATACCAAATATTGTTCATTTGGCCGTTCATCTTCCAAAATGCATCAAGTGATATATGATCCAAATGATAAGGCATCTAAAATTTTAGAATGTGCTGAAAGACAAAAGAAAAAATTAACTTCAATTTTTGAGATGTGTGTAGCAATTGCATTGGCAAGACAATATACATACCAACAATTTCCACAAAATTTTGTTTGGCATAAGATAAAGATGTGGATATTAAGAAAACATGGATTTGCTATTGAAAGATTATATTTTGCAAATCTTGCAATGGGAGAAAGATATTATTTGAGGCTTCTATTAATCCACGTTAAGGATCCACAATCATTTGAGTATTTAAGGACCATTCATGGAATTTCTCATCTAACATTTAAAAGTACATGTGCAGCTTTAGGATTACTTGAAGATGATAGAAAGTGGCAACAATATTTAGAAGAGGCATTAAGAATACAAACTGGATCTCAATTGAGGGCATTATTTACTATTTTTATATTACATGAAAATCTATTAAATCCATTAAACTTATGGGAAAGATTTTGGAAAAGCATCTTAGATGATTTAAATCTCTATTTGCAAAGATAACTTGGAATTAGCAATCCAATGGAAGAACAAATTAAGGATTTTGGACTTTTCTTGTTAGATAAGATTTTGCAAGACTCTAATAAAATGCTTGCATATTTTCTTCCAATACCATTACCAAGAAAAAATTGAAATGCAATAGTTAATGAAAATTGATTTATTGCTGAAAAAAGAATATGGGACATTCAACAATTAGAAGCAAATTTGAAGCAATATATTTCACAATTAAATCTTGAATAAAGAAAGGCATATGATGATATTGTGGCTTCTAAAATAGAAGAACATGGACTCATGTTTTTTCTAAACAAACTTGCAAGAACTAGTAAGACATTTCTCTACAATACTTTAACAACTAAAGTTGCATTGCTACTTGAGGGAAGAAGAACCACCCATTCTATATTCAAGATTCTACTAGATTGTAACTAAGACTCTTTTTGTTCAATTACTAAGAATTCTCACCATGCTGAGTTCATTTGCCAAACTTTGCTTATTAGTTGGGATGAACTTCCAATGCAACATTGTTATTATATTGAGGTAGTTGATCATTCTTTTAGAGACATTTGGAATATTGATTGCCCATTTGGTGGAGCTACAACAATTTTTGGTGGAGATTTTTGCCAAATATTACCAATAGTTGTGAAAAGAACTTGAGAAGAAATTGTAGCACCATCTTTTCAACATTCAACACTTTGGCTTCAAATAAAAATTCATATATAAAAAGAGAATATGAAGTTGAATTCACAAGCACTTCAAGCAGATATTGAGTTTGCTAATTGGCTTCTTCAAGTATAGAATTCACACACAAATTGTATATATACATGGTGGTGCATTTGAATTCTTTGTGGTTGTATTATTATTAACTAATATTTCTATTTGCCACTTGCAGATTGAAAACATTACAAACTTATTGTCGAATAATGTAATTAAGCTTCCTGATCTCTTGATTGTTGATCAAAAATTAATGTCTTTAGTGGATGTTGTTTATCCAAGGCTGGTAGAAGACACTTTAGCAAATGATGCCTACTTTAGAAATAGAATCATTTTATCTGCATGCAATAATGATGTAGAAGATATTAATGAAAAGATTATGGCTATATTTTCCAGAGAAGAATAAGAATATTTAAGTGTTGATGAAGTTGTTGAAGATGGTATCAACAACAATAATGCTTATCCAATCGAATTCATCAAGTCACTTAATCTATCTATAATGCCTAGATCACGGCTTTGTCTTAAGATTGAGACTTTGATGATGCTACTAAGAAATATTATTCCTTGGCCAGGACTTTGCAATAAAATTCAATTGATAATTACACGATTAGTAGATCAAGTTCTTGAAGGAAGAATTCCTAGGAGAAAATTTGCTAGAAACTTGGTGTTCATTCTCCAAATTGCATTAACTTCTGCAACAAAAGAACTTCCATTTATTCTAAAGAGAAAGCAATTTCCAATCTGTCTTGCATTTGCAATAACAATAAACAAATCTCAACGACAATCAGTGAAGCTTGTTGGTTTGGATCTACAATAACCTATTTTTTTCCATGGTCAACTTTATGCAGCACTTTTTCAATGTACTTCCTCCCATTCTATCAAGATGCTTCTTCCTAGAAATGATAATTTAAATTCCACAATGAATATTATTTTTTCAAAATTTTTAATTAGATAAATATCAATAATTTATTTTTTGTATTTTATATTTTAATTTATTTATTTATTAACTTTAATACATCTTTGAATGTATAAATATATTTTTTAATGTAATTTAATGTCTTTTTTTAATATTTTCACAAGTAATTTCTTGAACTAAATTGATTACTTTTTTTGTATATTATCAGTAACAACAGCATGGATTTAGTTATCCTACTTCATGCATGAAAGCTCTAATATGTAATTTTTTTTTTCTTTCTATTTGTATTGTATTTGAATTTGAAAAATATTCTTTGGCTTCAAAAAATAGCTTCATTTGAGTCAAACTTTCAGTGACAACAACATGGGTTCATCTAGTATATACATAAAGAAAAAATATTGGACGACGACAACTAGAGAGCTAGAGTTCGCCATGAGGTCTGATGCACCTGGAATTCCTTAATTTGGCAAAGATTAATCAAAAGGCTTCACTACGTAAATACTTTACACTTCGGAGAGACCCACCTGGACGAGTCTCACAACTGAAAATCCACTATAAAAATTGAGCAATGTGCTCCTTGCTACTACTCGAGCCTGCGAAAGCCATCTCATCACTGACTCACTCACTGATTGATTGATTGCACTGACTAATTAATTGATAGATTGATAGATTGATTGCACACTTCAATTCTATCTATACACACGAAACCGGCAGGATTGCTCAATCTGTGCTCTCCCTCTCTCTCTGCATGTTGCGCAATAGAGCAATCGAGGTCGATCAATGGTGTGTTCCTTCCCATAAAATTTCTCTACTCCCAGCTTGTCTTGAAGCTTCGCAGTGTGTGTTGTGGACAGCACACTGAACCTGATAGATAGATGCAGGGAGTTTCGATGCGTCACATAGCTCAGTTGAAGCACCATAGCTCGTGGTCGAAGAGAACGCAGCCCTCGTCATCACTGGAGGGAGAGGTCATGCTGAAGTTCTGCTCGTCGTTGACACTAGGTGGCGTTGCGAAATCCAGTGTAGCGAAATTCGTGAGGTCTAGTTGCATCATTAGCTCACGAAAGCCGCTAGCCTCGTCCGAAGGCTGCAAACCTCCGAACTCGGCATTTAGCCAATTCTCCATGTTCATGTCCATGGCCATGCTGTTGGGTTGCGAGGTTGTGGGGGTGGAACACTGGAAGCTATCCTTTGTGGCGCCGTCCGAAGAGGAATCGTGATGAGAGCCGGTTTCAACTTCAGAACTAGCGGTCCCAGGAGACTGAGGCGTTGACTCGGTTGATTCAGTTAGAGGTGCGCAGGCTGCCGCGGCCGCCGCCGCTGCTGCCTGCACGTCGCGGGGCGCGGTGCATCGGCAGAGGTTAGAGGGAGGACAGTCCGGGAAGTTGAGCGTCGCCGATGGACCGCGCAAGCACACCACCGCAGCGTCGTAGGCCTTGGCGGCCATTTCCGCTGTTGGGAAAGAGCCAAGCCAGATGCGCGACCTCTTGTTCGGTTCCCTGATCTCCGAAACCCATTTGCCCCACGTTCTCATTCGCACGCCCTTGTACAGCTTGGAGCTAGAATTGCACGAGCTACTCTTCGTCGAATTCAGCGAAGATGGTGTCGACTTCTTCAAAATAGTGGCGGAGGTCTTCAATGGCGCCAAGAGGTTCCCTCCCCTCTTGGCATTGAGAGACTCCGACCGAGCTTTCTCCACCATCTCGGCGGACACCGCTCAACGAGAACCTCTACAGCTTCAAAACAATTGCAAAGTGCACCCACCCCTATTGCTGCTTCTAAAACCCCAAACCAGACCACAGACTCATAGAAAACACTTCTAAATTCACTGCCCAGTGCGAATTGAAGCTCAGGTCCACTCAACCTAGCTTCTGTAATAATTCAGTCCGAGTTACACTTTTACTACTTAGCACTTCCATAATATCAATCGAATCGAGAGAGGGAGGGAGGGAGGAAGGGAAGGGCGGTACGAATGATCACTTCGAAAGCGAATGGAACAACGGGGCCCATGACGAAACCCCATTTTGTAGATAGCAAGGGCTTTCTTTCGATTGCATTCGCAACCTGTCCTCCACGTGTTGTACGCGGAACTCTGCACCGCCGAAGACCGCGTGAGGGAGGGGCAGTGGTGGGCCCCAATGGCATCACGTGTGTTGGATTTCACCCTCGCCGCATGGGAGCACGCAGATCGAGAGAAGGGGCGAGAGCTTGGGGTGGGGGGGGGGGAGGGGATGGGCGGATCATGCCTCAGCATGGTGTTTTGCTGCTTCCAACCTGTCGTGAATGCCCATATCTTTTGGCTACCGACGCGTCAACCATCCACTATCGCTCTACCTTTTTGTCTTTGTATCTTTCTCTCTTTCGCTCTCTCCACATATGTGACAATACGGTGGTGCATTGTTCAATTGTAATATGTTTGATATTCTTTTCAATTTTCAAAGAGAGAGAAGAGGGTCTACTTTTAGGTTATTTAGATTTTGTAATGAATATTATTTTGCATGTATCTCCTCCACCGAAGGGAATTTTTGATTGTTTTGAAGACATAAATGAAAGTATAGATAAGTTTGTACATATTCACAATTATGTTGTTTGTAAGCATTGATCTCACAAATATTGCATTAAGGTTAAATGTGATATAAATTCTTCTGACATATTTAATATTATATTGAGCAAACTAATATCATTTGTCAGCAAAATATTACAAGTAGATTGATTGAATGTCCATTTTTGTTGCATGCACAAGGTATCTAAGGTACTACACAATAGCACTTAATAATATAAAATGGAGAATACAACCATGGCCCTTCATCATCTCTTCTAGAACATTTAATTGTACAATGTCTCTAATTAGTAAAGAAGGAAATAACAACTCAAATGCTTACAGCAGAAGTACCTCCAAAAAATATTGTGAATGCATTATGTAAAAAAAAAATCTTATAAGCCAAGTGATTGCACATATTATTTAAAAAGAACATCAAACATTGCATCAAATTATTCTTGATGGTCATGCTTCGATTGTTTCACTTATGAAAACCTTGCACAACAATGCATATTAATTCACATATCAATGTGATGAAAAAAAATAAGATAACCTTTTTATTTTTATTTTTATTTTTTGTGTATACATGCAAAATATGTTGAATTATCAAAAAAATATACCTCTCCTATTATTATAGATTGTACTCATAAAATAAATTGATTTTAAATTATTATGTTAGATATAGTAAAATAACTAACTTTAAAATATCTTCCATAGTTGCAATTATTTTTTTCTAAAAAGAAATAAAAGTGTTTTTTTGTTGAACCTTGATTCAACTTGTCTGATTGCATGGAAATATCTAATCTATTTTTTTGGATCTAATATAGATTTAACATTAATAAATACAATAAAAAAAATACTTTTAATATTTTACTTTGTATATGGTACATTCAAAAAAAAATAGCAAACTATAAGAAGTATTTTACTATAAAAATAGAAGCAAGTTGATTTACATTTATGGCAGATTAGACTAATATGATAAATGCTTCTACTAAAGTGCTTTACAATCAAGAGTGGACTATCCTTTCCACTACCAAGTATACTCCTGCTAATGCTTATGCAACTATTAAGTATTTAAAAAATACATGGATATTACCAAAAATAATGATTTTTCAAAGCCTAGATAAATAATTACCTTTATTTTGGAAGTGTAACTACATCTTGAGTTGAAGATCAACATTCAACTGTCAAATCATATTTAAAATTTTCTACCAAAGAATTACAAGATGTATAAATTTGTCCATTTTCTTTTTTTGAAAATACAAAAAAAAGAGGTTAATGCCCAAAAAAGTTTAAAAAAGACTTATATATATTATCAATATACCATTCCATTTTTCACAAATGTTGTGAAACAAGTATCTATGTATGCACTCAATCTTATCTTTGAACAATTTAAATGTACCAAAGAAATATTTGATGTTAACTCCTACATAGATACATTGATGAAGAGAATAGGAATACTATGTAAACATAAATATAAAACTATGTAAAATATTAGAGATATTTTGTCAATAGAATTTTTTTATACTCAATATTATTTAATATATAGTATTGGTGTAATACCTCCTTTACCACCAAAGAATATATTTGCAACTTCCAAAAACCTTCACATTGTTTTCAATGGTGTTGATCAAACTTTTGAGTTATTATTCTCCTACTAACAAGAAAGAACGTATGTTCAATTGATAGAGCTTGTATCAACAAGTATGAGGTTAGAAAATCGAGTAGTTAGCCATCTAAAAGACTAATCGTATGGAATAGCTATTTGTATGAGAGACAAAAAATCTTCTACACAACATATAGCTTCACAGTTTGAAATTGTTGAAGTAGTAGTAAATGTTTGACATTATAAAAGTTTCCAAGATTAGGGACTCAATGTATACACTTGTCCTAGCCAAAATATTACAAATTCACAAGTATCTACAAGTACATTGTAATTATATTGAAATGAGTAATAGTTATGTGCATTTATTCAATCTTTAAACAAAGCATAATATTACAGAAATAATATGTACAGAATATGAACCACATTCTTTGTTTCATGGCTTTAAGTAATCCACAAATAGCATTGGTTCTACCATTTTCTTCTTACTCTTGCTTCCAATTCAATCTACCTCTTTATTAAGGATCTATATATAAAATTCATTATGTAAGTCTAACAATGAGTACATCAAAATTAAAATCATGATAGGTATTATTAAAAGCCATAGATTAGTATATTAAGGCTATTGATGCAAGTCGATCACATCACCAATAAGAGTAGCTAAAGAATATAAAAAAATCAAATTGAATTACAAAAACATACTAAAAAATGATATTTTATATAATTTCTACAACTTTATGAAGAAAGATAGTAACTTAAAGTATTGCACTTATTATACTTAATTAGACCTCCTAAAATTTTCTTTCAAAAAATAATCAAACAAAAAGATTTTCTTTTAATACAATCATCATGTTTTCTAGCTCCACATATTAAACACAAATACAAAGGATTTATTTGGGCTTATACATTATTAATTATGTTTTCTATCGATTCAATTTATTTTCAAAACTTGTGAATATTATAAAGCAATAAGACTCACTAGAAGCCGAGTGGCTTGATTTTTGAAGATAAAAATTATCAATATCATTGCTGGATGGTAGCTTAGCAATATTCATCTCTAAGTAATATATTATGTGGCACATTAGTACTAGCTCAAGAGAGTTTGGTCCAAAACAAGCAAGAGGAAGTAAGTGAGATATTAGAGTAGGAAGATTAGACTTAGGTTCTATATTGGAAGTACATGGTCACAGTAATCCACTATAGCCCTAGCAATTCTCTTCTAAAATTAATTACATAGATACATGTGACTCTTTGTTGTAGTTTGCTATCTATTGAGTCAGACAAAATACATTAAACTCAAGCAACATTATTACCAAATTACGACCAAGTGGTAGGAAATTATTAAACTTTATAAATAACATATGTACTATTAGAATGAGTTTCAATAATACTGAACCATCTCAATAACAAGGCAGTGAAGCAAGAGCATGATGTGAAAGGCAGAGCATGACACAAGAGAGAGATGAAAAGAGTGCCTAGAAGATTGAATGCAAATCTTTCTTTGGCTCTTTTTTAAACATAAAACTATGATTCTTTTGTAGAGATAAGAGATTGTGTGGCCGCCATGATTGTGGCACTAATAAAGATTAGGATAATGATAAATATGGTTGATTTTCATTGATTGTGGATATAATAGTAGATAAAAAATATATAAATTTTATTTTTTAAATTTTTTTAATGATGGATAGAATAGATGAATTGATTTAATAAAAGCCTAGGTCTATACAATATATCTCTATATATATATTTTTAAATAAGAATGTAAGGTAATATTAAATAGATCCAAAATTTTATTAAATTGATCCATCCATTTAACCATAATAGGAAAAAAAAAAAAAAAAAAAAAAAAAAAAAAACTCTAGATTCATTTTTCTAATACTAGATCCACAACCAATGAAAATCAATTATATTCATCATGATTATCACATTCTTCATCATGGATGGATAAATTTAGTAAAACCATGGATCTATTTAATATTATATATATATATATATATATATATATATATATATTAATTAGAATATATTAAGTTCATTCTTTGTTTTATTTTTTTTGCACAATTGACATATACTTGCTATATGGATTTGACAAATCTTTGGAATATTTATATTTCTAAATGGGAATGCTTATTAGATGTAAATTTCTATATTAATTAGCAAGATATTTGTTTCAAACCAAGAACATGCAAAGAAGCATTCTTTATAATAATAAAATTATGTTTGTCTATCTATACAATAATCCTTCTTTAGTATATATGTGTTTGGTATAGAAGATACATTTTAGAAAATAAACTCATCATGTGTAAAATTAATATAACTTGTTTGGCATTTTGAGATAGCATACATTAGTAGTAACATATTTTTATTATGTAAATTTTATATTCCAAAATATTCAAAAATTTATTTTGTAAAGAATTTAGATATGTTTTTAAGGTAAAAAAACAATTGATATTGGATCATATTTTGAATAATGTTGGATAAGATTCAAAATAATATTGGACCAAATTTTGAATAATATTTTTTCTAAATTTGGAAGTAATAAACAAGCATTAGACAAAGAATAAAATGATTTGTTAAATCTTAACCTTGCAAATGATACTTTGATGGATAGTAGTCTTTAATATGTCAAGTATAGAGGTGGTTTTACAAATTCTCAAGTTAGAAACTTTTGAAAGGCTTTTAGTCCACAACATTTTAAAATAAGTTTATATGTGTAAAGATCCTCTTTTAATGTGATTTCTACTACTTATTTTCCATCAATGGTAAGTTGACTAAGACTATTTTTATAATATGCATTGAATGAATTAAATAAAAAGATGTTTTAAAAAGAATTGGAGGTAAAATTACAGACGCTTTTTGTATAGAATAGGTGACTCCTTTAGTAAAAGATGAATCAATTCTGCACAATAAAAGGGAGATACTATCTTAATACAAAAATCTATTTCATATTCTCTCGAAAAACCAGACTAATCTTCTCACTATTCTCCAAAAAAGTCACATTATCTAATAAAATGCACTCTTGAAACTTTGTCATTGATCTCCAATTTCTCTAACAATTCTTAGCTCTCACTCATTCTCTCCATGTCATGCCCCTAATACATCACCACCCCCCTAAGCTTAGAAAACAGCCATGGTTGCATGCAAAGAATGAGCACCATGGGAAAGCCACCAACCCAAAGCTATGGAGGAGCATTGCAATCCATGATAAATTTCAAGGTATGAAACGCGTACTAAATTTTTGTATTCCTTTTGTCTCATCAGGTAAAGCAAAAAAGTTGTACTCAATTGTCTCCTCTGTTCATAAGCACCTACTTGCAATTGCCGGCCCCTACTAAAAGAGCAGTTTCACCAAGTGATCAAGAGCAGTGGATACAAAACCTAAGCTCGTCCAACAGCCCACACTCTGATATGGCCATCAGTGTAACCACTGAAGAGGGTGCTTCCGTCAGCGCTCCAGTTCAAGCTGACGCAGTAAGGCACCTGAGCCTTCTTGCTGACGAAGGTGAACTCAGGGCGCAGCTCGTCGACGACGCTCTTGCTCTCCAAGTCCCAGATCTTAATGCAGCTTTGGGTGGCAGCGCACAACCAATACCTGTTGGGGCTGAAGCAAAGAGAGTGGATAATGTCACCGGCGTCCAAAGAGTACAACCTCTTGCCCTCGGCCAGGTCCCACAGCATTGCAACTCCGTCCTTGCCACCGCTGGCGCACAGGGAGCCATCAGGAGACACGGTGACGGTGTTCACGTATCCGGTGTGCCCAACCAAGTTAGTGCGGATCTTGCAATTAGTCAGGTTCCACACCTTCACGACCTTGTCCCACCCTCCGGACACAATAATAGGGTTCGCCGTCACAGGGGAGAAGCGCACGCAGCTGACCCACCCAGTGTGACCATCCACGTCCTGGATGGTGTACTTGCACTCGCCGAGAGTGTTCCACAATTTGATGGTCTTGTCACGCGAGCCGGACACAATCTGCCTGTTGTCCACCGAGAACGCAACGCTGAGCACGTCCTTGGTGTGGCCAATGAACCGCCGGGTGGTGGTTCCAGTGTTCAAGTCCCACAATCTCAAGGTTCCGTCCCATGAGCCCGACAAGGCGAACTGCCCATCGGAGGAAATCACCACATCTTGCACAAAGTGGGCGTGGCCGGTCAACCTGCGGCGGGCAACGCCATAGTTCCCCTCCTCGCGGGTGAGGGTCCAGACGATGATGCTCTTGTCGCGCGACGACGACAGAATGAGGTCGGGGTTGTCGAGAGGGCAGGCGATGGCCGTCACCCAGTTGGAGTGGCCTTTCAACGTTCCGCGTAGCACCAATGTCTCCGCCATTACTCAATCCCACAAAAAATAGAACAAATTACAAAATGGAAAAAATGGGTAATACTAACCGAAAAGAAGCGAGACTTGGGTTGACGGCACAAAAATGAATCGAAGACGGAGTGGAGCTGGAGAGGCAACAACTGGGACAAGCGTTGCTGCTCGCAAACATCCCAAGACAGCGCTAAGACGACGGCGACGACGGGACTTGTAACGATGAGGATCTCGAATGCCACATCAGCCCTAACTCGAGGGGAACGATTTTTCGTTCCCCTGTCTCGCTCGTTCCCTATGAATGCAGTGATGCCTGAATGGTGAAGTTTGGAAACCTGGATTTAAAAGATGTTGCACATGGAGTATTGTATTTATTCGCAAATATCATATTGAATATGTTTTAAATAACTAAATATTCTTATTAGCGGAATGTTAGATAGATCCATGCTTTTGCAAAATAGACCTTCCCTTGATGAAGAATATGGTAATCATGATGAATGCGGTTGGTTTTTATTGGTTGCATATTTAAAAATAGAGAAATGAATCTAGAAATCATTATTTTTTTTCATGATGGTTAGGATGGTGGGGTTAAATTTAGTAACATTTTGGATCTATCTGACTTTTTCCTATTATTATTTTTTATAAAAATGATGTCAATATTGCATTATCAACTTATAATACAACACTTGAAAATATAAACCACAATGTGAAATTTGTAGATTGATTTCTTTATAAAAAAAAATTGATGTGTTTATGATATTGAATTACAATTTGATAGCATTGAATGCATGTTTAAGGAGATACTATATTTGTGCATTTCTACCCATTATTTTTTAAAATAATTATTGACATTCTTGCTACTTGATCTATTTTTTAAATTAATAAAAAAAATTTGGAAGTTTTTTAAAAAATCGAAGGTCTTTAAATAGTGATATATGAATAATAACCCTTATACATATCCTTGTATTTTATGTGTTATTGTTGACTTTGGTTCTACATTTATTTCAAATAGTTTTGATCAATTTTTTACTCTTGCTGACTTATATGAAATCAATTAAGTCTAATGAAGATAGAGCAGTATCAGATTTAAAACTATACATAAAAATCAATATTAAAGAATAAAATAAAAAATAATTTAGAAGCTAATTAATATCTTAAGAATTTCATATGCACAAAACTATAAAATAAAATAAAATGTGATTTCAAAAGCTATATATATATATATATATATATATATCCATTTAAACATTGTTTTTAAAAATAAAAATAGATCACTACAATCTAATTTGTAAAACATTTCTACAAGACAATAATTTCTAATTCAATTCAATTTCAAAATAACTCATATTTAAAGTTAGAAGCATAAAAATAAAATAAAATAAAATAAAATAAATGGTATGTATTTTAATTGATATATTCAAAAGTAACATAATTTTGTTTAATTATAATTGGTATGAAGCTATAGTAAGTTAGAAATAAGTTAATGAAAAATATAATCTATTTTTATAAATATTCAATCTTTTAATTATTACAATGAAATAACTTAGATATATTTTTTTCAAATTTATATAGACATATAGACAAAGAATCAGTTTTATAAATATATATTGAAGGAAAAAAATTATTCATTAGAAACAAACTAAATGCATGATTAGAAATAAGACAGTGCTTAAATTATTCCAAATCTTTTGTTGACAAGACTAAGGTGCCCATTATTTTAACTCCTTATTTATACTAAACAATTAAGTCCCATGGAAGCTTCTAGGAGAGATTCTAAGACCTATAAAATGCCTTGGAAGTTCAAAAGCTTTTTTACATAAACATCTAAAAATATAGATATCTTAGATGGTTATAAAAGATTATAGAACCTTTGTATAGACTATAGAAGGTTCTTAAGATTTATTGTATGAAAAAATTATAATAATAATAATCTAGAAACTTATAAAATATTCTAGTAGATTATAAGAGTTTTAAATAACAGATAATAAACAATAATTTTATAATATTATAAGATATTTTGAAAGATACACAATTTGTATCCATAGCATCACCTACTTTTCTAACAGCAAATTTTATCAAAAGTTTGAATTGCCTATTTTTTATGTTTCTAAAAAAATCAAAGATATGTTCAAAAAAATTCATATGATGTACAACATCATTTGGCTTTTTATTTAATATTTGTACAATCTAATTCCACCAAAACTATGGTTGCAATTTTTGGTGTTAAAAAAATTATTCTAATAACTTTTTTAAGTTGATTCATCAAAAATATCTTTAAAAAATAATTTCTTTAAAAATGATTCTCTTTCTACTAAATTAAACATTGTAAACTTATATCAATATGAACTTAGTTTAAGCATCTTCTTAAAAAATTCTATACTAGAATTACTGTCACGGACACAAAATACAGACTTGAAATCTAATAAAAAGTTCAAGAAGAAGTGGCAGAACTAGATTAAACAGATGAGTACAAGAACAACACCAGAAAGGTGAGCTAGAACTCCAAGAGATGTGTTGTCGAGACTGAAGAACTCTTCAGCCTCGACTCCTATATATACTACTGGCCTATGGTTCTAAGGAAGCGCATCAAGAAGCTTCCCAAGAACTATGAAGCTTCTCGAGCAACTACCCAAGAGCTAGGAAGCTTCTCAAGTAACTTCTTAGAATCTATTAGAATATTCTAAGAATCTTCTAGAGCCTTCTAAGAGAATCTTTAGGGAATCTTTAAAGAATATTCTAAGAGAATATTGAAGGAATCTTCTGGAAGTTTCTAGAGACTTCTTTCTAGAAGGTTCTAGAAACTTGTCTCTAGAAAGGTCTAAGGACTATGTCCCTAACATCACCTCCTCCTTTAGCTTCGAGGTCTCCGAGAAGTAATGTTATCGTCAGTCAATACCAACGCAAGAAAATGAAGATCTGTCGCATAATCTCTGCTATGAACTCCAATTGTTGTTCACGAGGCAAGTGATTCAATGGTCCTTGAAGCCAACGGTAGTGGCCCACGCCTTCAACTTCTGACCAAGCATGAACCTCCGTGTCTTCATTGTGAAATTGTCCTACAAACACTCCTTCTGGCTGACCATTGTAGGCAGGCTCGACCTCAAATACAATCACCAGCGATCTGTTGCTCGGAATCCTTCGACGTCGTCGTGGTGCAGGCGGTTCTTCATCTCGCGGTCGTCTTCGTGAGCTAGTTGCTTGAGATGACATGACAAGTGTAGTATCTTGGCTATCCATATTCAAAGGCTAAAACAATAAGAACAAACTTGAGCTACTAACAAAGCTCTACGCTATCTTGGAGAGAATGACTACATCAACTATGGATTTTGGTGGTGCTCTCTCCTCTTTTCTGTTTTCTGGATGAGCAAGCTTCAATAAGAAGCTATCGTCGAACCGGCTTGGGTTTCTCAGGATATCGTCGATGAAACTCCTGTACCTTTTGTGGCACATTCGCGAGATTTTTGGCCGGCTCCTATGTTCGTTCATTAATATCGTAACCGCTCCAATGCACAAAATATTCTAATTTACCCCGTCTTTGCCGTGAATCCAGGACCTTTTTCACCTCGTATTCTTCGTGGTTCTCTATTTCTATGCTAGGTGGTGGACATTGTACTCTTCCAGGAAAAGACGATTCTCGATAAGGCTCCAACAAAGAAACATGAAAGATAGGATGTACCTTCATAGTAGCTGGTAACTCCAGACGATACGCTACAGGATTGATCTGCTTCTGGATAACAAATGGTCCCAATCTCCGATAGTCCAATTTGTCACATGGCTGCTTGGTCTTAATATTTCGTCGAAGCAGCCAAACTTTGTCTCCAATCGTGAATTTAGGTGCCTGATTCCGAAATTTATCCGCGGACGCCTTGTAAGATTCTTGGACAGTTTGCAATTGAAGCTTCAATGTAGTTTGAAGCTGTGAAAGCTCCTTCACCAATCCTTCAGCTGCCGGATTGTTAATCGTTGACGAACTCCATAAGTCAAGCTTCGGATGGTATCCATAATTGGAAAAGAATGGCGTTTGTTGAGTTGACGCATGAAGGGTGTTGTTATATGCGAATTCGGCTAGTGGTAGATATGCGACCCAATCATCTTGTTGATAGTTGATGGTGCAACGTAAATATTGCTCTAAAACTTGATTCACCCGTTCTGTTTGGCCGTCCGTTTGAGGATGAAATGCAGAAGAAAGCTTGATATCCACCTTCAATATTTCAAAAAGAGATTTCTAAAACTTTGACACAAACTGGGTTCCTCGATCCGATACGATATCATCTGGTAGACCATGATATCGATATACATTATCAAGAAAGAGTCTTGCTGTGTCTTCGCTTGACGATGTCTTCTTATAAGGGACAAAATGCGCCATCTTTGTAAGCCGGTCTACGACAACAAAAATGCTGTCAAATGAATTCGATGGTGGTAGATCCGTAATAAAGTCCATGGAAATCGAAGACCATGGTCGGCGCGGAATAGGCAATGGCTGTAGAAGTCCATAAGGCCGATGTCGAGGGTTTTTGGATCTTGAACAAATGTCACAAGATACAACAAAATCTTTCACATCCTTCCACATTTGAGGCCACCAGAAATCGTGGGAAATAAGTTCCAAGGTCTTATTGAATCCAAAATGTCCCGCAGCTGGAAAGTCATGATGAGATTGAAGAACTCGGAGTCGTGCTGGCCCTTTTGGGATATACAACCGCTCTTCGAAATATACTAGATCTCCTTCCATCTTGAATTTATCATCACTAGCATGTTGCTTGATATCAAGGGCTAGAGAATCTTCAATGGTTGCGGCCCGTACCTTGTCGAGGAAGTCAGCATCAATTAGTACAATAGCTGCGTTGAGCCGAAATTTCTCTGGCTTCAACAATGTCGTGCACTGTTGATCAAATGCTGCATCTCCAGCCTTTGGCGCGAGATATGATCTCCTTGATAATGCATCGGACAACCCTTGTTGCTTCCCAGGCCGATAAGTAATAACAAAGTCAAACTTGGATAGCGACATACTCCACCAGGCTTGACGCCGATTCAAAATCCGAGCCGACATAAAATACTCCAAATTCTTGTGATCCGTATATATGGTCACTAGATGTGCAGTTCCTTCGAGAAAGTGGCGCCACTCTTGGAAAGAATCTACTATAGCAAAGAGTTCCTTATCGTGGATCTCATAGTTGATCTCAGCAGCAGAGAATTTTCGAGAATA